CTGAGCCATACCACCGCCTGTGCTCCGCCCCGCAGCAGCGCCCTTCGATTATCATTTGGATGAGGTATTCCACTTCCAGAGCGTATCCTATAACTTTTCATGGATGCGTGATCAATCAAAGCATGATGCTTGCTGAAATGATAGAGGCTATCAGCATAACATGTGCAAACGACCTCCTAATTGGTTGCTAGCTCGTCCATTATCGGAGGTCAACGGGCAAAGAAAGGGGTCCCATTTTGCGCCTTCTTGACGGATTTCTTTGCTTTTTTCGCCACTGGGGCATTATTCAGCATCCCCACTTCCACTATGAACCCAGTCCAATCTTATCGTAATCCCTCGCTTTAAAAACACACGAACACCAGCAAAGCATCAAAATGTGCATAGCATGTAGACGTGGGCCTGTGATCGAGATGGGCCCCCAACACGCACCATGTAGGTAAGGCTGCCAAAAAGCTGATTGGAAGGTTCTTCTTATTCGAAGCACTTGATCCAGGTCCAGCGAAGTGTGATTTCATTCATTTTTGAACGTGAAGGGTGGGTGTTGCTCCTTTGCCCCCCCCCCCTTTTTATATACTAAAACATATTACATGAGTAAGTAATTTGAAGTGTACTCACCCGAACAAATTCACTCGGCACGTAGACAAACACATCATCATCGCTCTGAAATTAATACGGTTAATTTCATTAAGACAACAGCCAACTGCTCAAACACTTGAAAACGTTAGCTTTTTGTGATGGATTAGTTTTGTTAATCATTAAAGTTATAGCAGGCGCATGCAATTTTAGCTCCAAGCACTCGGGAAAAGGAAAGTTGATTCACCTGATGGGTATTGTAGCGGAAAAGAAGATGTCAGGAGCCGTTACTGTCATCACTGACGCACAGAAAATCAAGGAATTTATTTTGTCATATCATAACATTGATGAGACTTGTGATGAATGAATCCATGAATAAAAATCTGCCATCTTTTTTCTTTGCTCGTTCACGAAATCTCTCAAAACAGCGATCTACACAGCGCGTTTTATGAATTTCATATATTATGTACATGCAAGCATCACAAAACATCAGAAATGTGGGAAAAAAGTGATAGTGATAGGAGCCCAAACTTAGTAGTAGAGGAAATAAGAAACGGCAAATAAATTCTCGGGAAGGTTCGCTGCCGCACTTCGGATCACCCATTAGCACAATAAGTCTCGATTGTGCGAGCACAAAATTGAAACCCACTTCAATGGCGCATTCCGCAGTTGAATAGGTTTGGGCCAGGGTGAATATCGGTCGAAGATTCCCAATCGGCTGCTACTTACGTTCTATCGCGCGGACATTCACACTCGCCATGCCCGAGCCGTCTGTGCTCTCCGCGCGTACGTTCACTCTCGGCACTACTCTCGCACAGTAGAGAGCCGTGGTCGAGGATTTCCTCGACCGTTATTCACCCTGATTTAGGCTACCGCATCCAGAAATAAAGTATGCGTTTGAATGATCCACTATAAATGGGAAAATAGAAAAACTTCTAAGAATCCACAAAATCACATAGCGCGGTGATCACTTGGGCAAAACTCATTTGGCGTCCTACCCTACTAGACCTTCATTGGCTACTCCAATGCCTTTTCTGTTTTTTACCGTACCAATGAAACGACCAACCAGTGACATTCGCGTTCGGGTCGCGCACAAACCCGATCACACGATCAGCACGGAGGTAAGCAAACCAGCCCTTTTGGCGTTTCGGCTGGGACCGTATGCTGAATGTTGGGGAGGGGATGGGGTCCCCAACGGTCGACGGACCACTTCAACTCG